TAAACAAGGATGACTAAGACTACTCTGACTGTGAGCACTACAGGAATATAGAAGTACAGAAGGGAACAGATCCTCCTGACTTGCACTCAGTGAAGGGAGATGCATGACATGTGCAACTCTTCAAAACAGACAAAAGAGCTTCTTAGCTTCCATGCGTGTGCATCCATAGGGTGGTGGGGACTGCCCTGCCCCCAAGCTTCCTGTTCAAGGAACTCTGCACAAGTAGGGCTATAGAGAACTTCTATTCCTTCCTCTTTCTTGCTCAGTTGAGCTGACAAAATTCCGTTTATTCTCAGATCTTTCAGAAACCTTCAGTGTCCTTCACCTGCAGGCTTGTTGACTCCTGTGGGTAAGGCAGCTGGCATAAGTGACAAAGCTTCAAAAGCCTTTCAAGGGGAGATTCAGGTTGAACAACAGGAGGAACTTTGAAAGAGTGGTTAGGTGCTGGAATGAGCTGTTCAGGGAGGTGGTGGAGTCATAATCACTGGAAACCTTCAAGAAATGTTTAGATATTGTAGTGAGGTGCATGGTTGAATGGAAAATATTGGTGTCGGGTGGACCTTAGTCTTTTCAAACCTTGGTGATTCTAAGCCTGGATTTCCTCTCCTACTACCCTCCAATTTATTGGGATAACACCAGGAATGAATGATAGAAGCCTTTCTCCTGTCCCATAGCTGTACTCTGTCTTGTATGATCTGGCTGTTCATGCTGACAAAGGTGTGAATGGAAGTGTCTGACAGCAGATCGGATTGCTTTTTTTCTGGCCTGCATCAGGTATGCTTATGTCCAGTTAAGTACCATTCAGCAAGGGAACACCTATCAAACCTTTCCCTTTGTCCTGCTTTCTGCTCCTGAAAGCATCTTGAGGCTGCTGAACCAGTGCAGTCCTGATCTTAGAGATTTGCTTATTCAAACATAAGGATTTGCCTAAACATGAGGAACATGCCCATGACTGATGGGCATGTCCCATACACAGTAATCCCAAGGCCACAAGAAAAGGCAAAAGGAAAAGCAAACATTCATGGTACAAAACTGAATAGTAAAAACTGGCTTCTGACTGTGCCTCAGCAGTAAATTCTACCAGATACAGTGTGAACTTGTAGTAGCCTTGTGTGCAGTGTACTGCTTGTTCTGAGTTGGCACACATGAAGGTCATTTTTCAATTAGACTCCAAAAAACCTCAGTCAAGCTTCTGCCAATCATACAGGGGCTAACAGCTGTAGGGCTGTTTGGAAAAGAGATGATACAGTCTGAAGTTGCAAGTGAACATTTGGGATTAAATGACTGCAGAACTGACTGTGAGAATGACTGTGAGATAAGAAACAAAAACAGCCAAGGATGAAATGACCTGAATTGTGCTATGAGAAAAGGAGAACTTGATGTTGTTAGCCTGGATGTTTCCAAACACTAATACTTGCCTTTCAGTAATGTCAAAATAAAAATGTAGAAGGGAGTTACAGAGGAAAAGGTGGAAGCATAACTTCAATTCTTCTGATTGGGTTATAATTAGGGGTAGTGGTAGGTGAGGACAGAAATGGCCAGCAGGCAGGACCCCTGGTTAAATATAAACAACCTGAAATTCCACAGGACAAAGTCTGAACAGATTTGTTTGTCCTAGGAAAACCCAACCACTTGATCATAATGGCCTGCTTGAAGGTTGCCAGAAATAGTGACACACCATAGATTATATGAATGTGTCTCCTAAAGAATGTTTGCACATCAAACTGCTGCCAAGAGCTGAATTAAGGGACAGGAGAAAACAGGAATAAAAAACTGCTCTGCTTTACTGTAGCTCATAAATTTTGGTATAGCTCTTAGTCCTTAGTTTGGGTACCTAAACCCAGATGGATTAGTAAAAGCCTGTGTAAAGAACTTCCCCAAGGGAAGAAAACAAACCAACAACAACAAAAAAGACCCTTAATAGTCTTGTATTAAAGTAATAGGTCTGCCTGGAAACTTAGTTTTCCACAGGAGCAAATGCAGGGGGTTTTTAAGTGTAAAGGCTCTAGTTGAAACTTGTTATCCATGCTTTTGAGTGGTTTTGCATGAACAGAGAGATGCACATGTGAACTAATTGTGTCTGAATTCCACAATGCTGGCAAAGCCTATTCTTCCCCATACTATCTGTGAAAGCATACAGATGTGTCTCTTTGCCTAATAGTGACACAGTGACAACATTAGCCACCATTTTTTTTTAAATAAAGCCCTTCCTTGTGAAAAGCTTGCACAGCTGTGCTTGGCAGATAATTAATTTAGTTCTGACATCTTCCTCGCCAAGAACTTTTCAAGTATGGTGCAAAGCTTGGATTTTCTGTTGATAAGGAGTTTTCTAGAAAGAAGTTGTTAAAGATTTTCTATGGCAGATCACACCCATTTCCCCAAAGCAGAAGCTGAGCTTGCCCAACCCACTAATAACATTTCTGTCCTGTAGGCAGAATCTGCCTCAAGGCCTGTAGTGTGCATGGGCCAGCTGTGCTGTGTGATGGCAGCTGAGCTGTGGTTAGCCTCTAACCTTTGGTGGCAGTCCCCCAGCCCTGTGTGGAGCCTGGGGCCATTTGTGCGTCAGTTTACTTTCCATCCCATTTCCCCATTTCACATCCTTGTAGCTGGTTTGCCACACCAAGGAAGGTACAAGTAGGTGTCAGTTCTGCACAGCAATCGCAGAGCTGTTCAAAGTCATTCTGAATTCCCTTTGCTCCTGCTCTGTTTACAGGTCTAGCCTAAGGCTTCAGTTGTTGGTTGCTCAGCTCTATTTCAGGCACGTTCTACCTGACTGAAGTGCAAGCAAACTGCACACTTTTGGGTTGCTTCAGTTGCATTTTCAGATCTGCTTGCTGCAGAATTTCCCTCTGCTTGTGAGGAAAGCAGTGCTGGAGTTAAAATGGGCCTGAACACTGCTTCTTGAAGAAGTAATTGCTCCTAAGTTAACTGCACAGAGACTGGTAGGAATGCTCCGTGTTGCTCGTGGGGCTGAAACTGAGACAATGCCAGTGCCACCACAACTCCAGCTTCACCTATGGAAAAAATGGCTGGAAAGTACCCACCAGGTGCTGTCAGGAGCCATTGTGCAAGAACAGGAAGGGTGGATGATACAAGGCAAAGTGTCTTCAGAGGGCTCTTGCTCCAAAATAAAAGAAAAGCGGAAAAAACTAACCTGTGATCAAGTGTTGTACTGCCATCCAGCTTCAGACAAGGAGCTGGAAAGCTCGGGGGCTGTAAGGGAGTGAAACTGTTAACTCACCAAAGAAGAGCAAATGGGATGAATGTGAGAGGATGATTCTAGACAAGATGAAGAAGGAAAAGTAGGGGGTGGAGGCAATGGGGTAGCTGGAAAAGATTGACAGTTCCTTTGCTGGGACATCCTGACTAAACAACAGGACTGCAGTGAACAAGTAACAAGTTTCAGGCCCAGTCACTTTCTTAGTTGCTTTTAACACATCCATTTTATTGTCTGGGTCATCCTGCCTGTCTGATAATCCCACTTGCAGAGGTTCATGGTTTGTTGTCAGTCTCCCAGCTTAAAGTAATTACAGCTGCAGCTTGGGACTTCCTTTCTCCTGAAGCATTCTAGTGGTCAGCACCTTTCTCCTGCTAAGTGCAGAGGCCTGTAATCTCTCCTCTTAAAGACCCAGTGCTTTCACTGGGTCCAGCTATTTATAGATCCTATGATCCCTTCCTCTCTGTACTTCCCTTCTAGCATATCAGCTGGAAATCTTCTTCCAGGACCCATATTCTTCCCCTTTGACTTCACAAACTCTTTCCTTCCTGAGTCTATTGTTCCTGCTTTCAGCAGGAGGCTGACACCAAAACAATCCCCATCCCCAGCTGTGAGCATACTGGCCCTTTCTCTCAAATTCTCCTCAGGGATTCCCCTCAGGTGCCAGTGTTTCTAAGCAGTGCCACATCCACTATCCTTTGTATGTTTGTCTCACTTGGTGGCCCTGCAACCTTTTTATGCATTGTGGCCACCCACTGAGCTGAACCTCTGCTACCTACTCCCCACCCAAATCACAGTTCACAGGGGTGCTTATGTGCACTGATTATTGTTTGTTTTCAAAAGAGCATCCGAGTAAAACAACAGCTTTCTCATTTTTCCTTGCTCACATTATATTTTCCTTAGTGCTGCCTGCCTTGGGTCACTCTCTTCCCCTTCAGGCATGCCTCCTACCTGTCTTGTAAGTGCTGCAGACAGCTAGTCCTTGTACTAAAGGGATTCAGTTTAGAAAACTCTGGTGAGTGAGGTGATTTGCAGGGAAATGAGATTACATGTTTGCTGGAAAAGGTCACATCTGATAGGACAGCCCTGCTGGCTCTGTCCTCCAACAAGTTAGTGCTTGTGCTGTCTGGGCTACCTTCAAGGAAGCAGTGAAGCAGTTGAGAAACTCCAAAATTGGTATGTTGCTCTGGTGTGAAAAAAGAGGTGCTTCCCTCACTTTAGTACCACCATCTGCCCCCTCTCCACCTCTCCTTTTTCCCCTTGTACATGAGTCACTTGATTTTTTGGCTTATCTAATTCTAACATTAAAGTTCTTCAGTAAAGAATCTCAAAACCAGAGAAAGCACTAATTCTATTAAGTACCATGAGGCCTGTTCCAGGATTGTGGGCTGACAGTTAAGCTAGTCCTGACAACCCAAGACCAATATAAACTACAGTTCTCAAAGGCAGTACCTTTTTTGTTCAAGGAACTGGATTTCTTGTAACTTTAGGGTCTGTGAAACCAACTCCTTTGGCTGCTTGGTCTCTTGAGTTTCAGCTGCTGCAGATGTTGAAAGCAGGCAAGCGGCTCAAGGATGCAAGCAATTGTCGCATGCGTCAAAAACAGGCAAAGCCAAGTTGGCCTTGAAATGTTATGTCTCTGCTGTGCTCCTGCTGAACAGCTGGGCAGCACTGCTCCCTAGATCTGACCTCCCTCTGCTTGAGCACAACTTGGGGAACCCTCTCCTCCCACAGAGCACCAAGGAGATAGACACAGTTCCTAGTAGATAAATTTGCTGCTCACCTGAAAGGTTCCAGAGCCTGAAGCATGATGTGGCCAAAGGCGAGAAGTAGCGAGGATCACAGAAGTACACGAACTCCAACATGAGTGGCTGGATGCAGGAACACGGGCTCCATTGAGATGACATCAACTGTCACCCGTGGCAGCAGTGCCTTTGTTAGGGCAGTGGCGTCTGACATGTGGGGATGCTGACACCTGGGTGTTGCTGTTGTACTGCTTGAGGATAAAGCCGCACAGCAGCTCAGCCCCACCACTGCTGTGGAAGGTAGCAGGGAAGATGTAGCTAAGAAGCACTGTCTAGCATCTGTGGAGTCCTGCTGCCACATGCAGGAAGACTACTCCAATCACTGACACGTTGTCTGCGCTGTATACCCCAGCTCCAAAGCCAGACTTTGCACACCACAGGTTGTAATGGATCTGCTTCTCCAGTGGCACTGTTCCAAAGAGCATCAAACAGTACTGGAACTCTGTCCCCAGCATGCAGACTGCCTGCCAAGGCACTGAAGGCTCAGGGCTGGTATTGGAGCTCAACAGACACCTGCAACAGAGAACACAGGAAGCTGAAGGAGGAAAAGCTCATGAAACCATGACCTATGAAGAACAATAAGGAAGCAGCTACAAACCCTACAGACCACCTGCTCCTATGTAATCGGAGGGGAAACAGACTTGGAAAATACTCTCCTTTCCTTGGCAGGGTGCCTTGTTTTCCCATCAGAGAAGGTGATAGATTCCCATCCCTTTTGGGTTCAGAGGGTATGTTCGTCTCTTCATCCACCTGAAAGATTTTTTTGGTCTTTGCTCTGTGCAAGGCCTTGTAATTAGCTCCCCTAAGGAAATTCTATTCCCCATCATCCTAGCTGTACCTCTTTCCTTCATGTTCAAGAGAATGTCTACCAAGGGAACGTCACTCAGATGCAACCTGCTGCAGGCTCTTTATGGTTCCCATCCTTTCTGATCCAAGCTCCTCACCGAACCTGATCATATTTATAAGATGAAATGCTACGTGATACAAGGCACACACCAGTCCACTGTTCTGTCATTCTCCACTACTCATTTTTAGTTTCCCCATTTCCTGCAACTCAGTAATAGCACTGGATACAGCAAACCTTGTTCTATTTATTAACCACCTCAAAAGGCTGAGCATGTGTCTTACATCTGTCTTATAACTATGACTAATGGCTGAGAGGTTTAATGACTGCCTTCTGGGAGACAGATGTTACAACTGCACCCTGCCTTGCTATGGGATCTAGCTGAGGGTCTTCTTGCAGCTTCCTCCCCTTTCCAGGTCTATGGAAGACCCAACACATTTTCCCAGTAAGCCAGCAAATATTTTTTGTAATACATTCCCCTCTTGCATCCCATACCCTCCCTGGCCTCTGGGCTCAGGTAGTTTTCCAGAAGTGCTCTCTCACATCTGCTAAGAGCCTGTAGCCATGGAACAGCAGAGCCAAGATACAGATCTGTCATGCTTTAGGCAGACAGAGATTATATGACTGCAATGAGGCAGAAGGTCTGCACCTCTGCTAGGAGACTGCGTTGGTACCACTTCCATTTTTTTACATGTCTTGTTAGCTAGGGCAGGAATGATGTCTGCCAGTGAATCAGCCTTGCTGGTAGCAACTGCTGCTGTATTTTGGGGGAGCCTAAGGGTGTGAATTGCTTCCTGGATGGTTCCTGTATGGAAGAAAACTGTGGGTCACTCTGAGAACAGTTAAGCCAGTGATTAATAAATATGCAAACATACATGGCACAGTGCAACCTTGGGTGAGTGGGTAAAGAAGCAAGCCCTTTGGCTGCCAAAACAGACAGCCAAGGCAGGGGCATCTAAATCAGCCTTCCTCACTCTCTCCCCTGAGCCACTCTCCTGCCTTTACCCTGCTGTCCCAGCCCAGCTGAAAGCTGCAGTTCATCCACCACACAGAGGAGTGTGGGGGGCGCAGGGGGCTGCTGCAGAAAGCAGTGCTTTTCTACTGCCTTCCAGGCTTTCTCCAGCTTTCTCCAAAGGCCTACCCTACCTCTAACCAGCCTTGGGGCTTTACTCCCTCTCTGACTTTGTTCACAGCAAGACAGCTCAGAGCCTGCTGACTGCCCAGTCTGCCCACCTTGCTCCCACATGGTGTGGTGAGCATGGCTTTAAGCCACAGGACACGCTGTGACTGACACCTGCTAAGCAGCCTGCTCCAAGCAAGGACAACTGTTATAGCACATCTCCAAAATGACCACTACAGCAAGGTATGAAACATTCCCAGTCCCCCTCCCCTGAAGACATCTGCCAGCTCTCCTTTAATTTGGGGCATCCCCAGAGCCTCCCAGATCCCCAGCATGTCATGCCACTCACAGATTTATTTTCAAACGGTGTGTTTGAAAATATTCAACAACAATACTGGAAATAGGGTTACAAAAGCAAAGCATAAAAACGTAACATGTACATGCATACATACAGTTACTTAACAACTAGGTTAGAGCAGCAGCCAAGACTCATGCTGTAGTTACACACTCCATCAAGCCTCAGCCATTTTGCCAGGCAGCCCAGCAACATCAGCTGACACAACTGATAGAGACAGTGCTCTCCACCCTTCCAAACCTTCCTGGAAGTTCCAGGAGGAAGAGCAATCAGCTCAGCGAAGCAAGGACAGCTGGTGTAAGGGCAGGGCTAGGGTTGTGACTCAGACCATGGTTACCCACTTGTCAGAATAGCGCAATGGACAGCATGTGCAGCAGGACCCCTTCTGGCTGCAGCACACCCCCAAACCAGATCAAGCCATTACTCTGCTTCTCAGTACCTCTGGAGTTACTCATCTATTGTGCTCCTTAATTTGTATGCTTCTTCTACCCTTGCTGGCTTCTCTCCAAACCACAACATTTGTTTGATTTGCAGTAAAACTGCCTAAGTTGTAAACCTTAACAAAATATTCACTCTACATGTAGCATAATAGCTCCTTATCTTAAATCTCGCTACAAGCATTGTATAGAGTCAGCATGTGATGTGACCGCCTGCCTTCGTACAGTACTTTTTCCTACAGAGACAGCTACTAATTACATTCTGTGTGGCACACTGGCAGACTGGTCCCAGTATCTGTAAACTGGCTGTTTAAAAACAAACCAAATATATATCTATATTTGGCAACCCTGTTTTAAGTGTTGTTCCTCTCTCCACACGTCACTAGGTTCCTGATACCCCACCACTCACACTGTGACCCATGGGACACTGTCTCTCCCACTTCTTTTTCAGGTAGTTTCCTCATTCAGCAAAAGCTTGAGAGGCCGATGGGTCCAAGTAGGACAGCAGGAGGCATGCCTTCCCTCTTCTTCACAGTTATTCTGGTTCACAAGCTGGAGGGCAGTAGAAGACAGCTAGGTCCCTTCTCCCCACTGTCACCCTGCTTCCAGATGGGTCTCCAGAGGGTCACCTTCTACTCTCCTTGGCTTAGACCTGCAAGTGCATGGCAGGTTTTACACCCACTGTGGCACTTCACCCCTGAGCTTCTCCAGCTCTCGTCTGACACATCCCCTGCTTCTCATGCAGGGCCCTTGGGTTTTCTCTCTGCCACTTTCCCTTCCACAGTAACCTTGCACTCACAAGCAACAAGACTTCTGTGCTGAAAAAGTGTCCCCAGTAGTATGGCACACTCCAAGAATGTGCCTGGTTACCTTCCTTTGCTCTATTGCATGATGCTAGAGACTGTCACTGACATTGGTAACAGCACCATCTCTCATTAGGAGACTACAAATGGCTCAGGGTCTGGTGTCACAGCAATCAGAAGAAAAGAGTCAAATTTTACACGTGATGTAGATGGACACAAAAGCTGAAAGCCGAAGAACAGGATGCCAGCTAGCTGTTCAGAAATTCAACAGCAAAGCACATGAGATGCAAGAGAAACAGATGCAGGAAATAGCAAGAACTGTGCAGTGACAGCACATGCTCACAGGGAAGAGTCAGCAGCAGGAGGTCTTTCCTGTACTGGAAGTGGCAACAAAAAGAAGCTATTTCTCAGAGCAGGAGCATACTCTTCCTGCTTCTTTTATGTAAAACTGATGGACAGGATCGGCAGCCTTGCCAGGACTTGGAGCAACCAGCGTGGGCTGGAAGGCTTGCAAGGGGCCTGGCTGAGACAAAGCAGCTTAAATAACCCTGCTGTAGGCAAGCCTTCCTGGGTCACAGCACAATGAGCACAAACCATGTACCCCTTCACAGAACAGCAGAGCCTGCACTCTCCCCACATGCCTTCTAGCACAGACAGGCAGAAACAATGTGTGATACTGAGCTACAGACCTCAAAGATTGCCTTGGCTCCTCCTGTGTACAAGCCATTCCTCTTTCATAAGCCCCAAACAGTGGTAACAGCACTGCAAATAGACTCTGTCCCTCCTAATTCCTGCACAGCTCATCCCTCAGGTAGCCAAACACAGACATCACCAGAATAAAGCCTGCGCAGGAGGAGAGCAGCATCACACTGCAGCACAGTAGATGGGGACAAGGTGGAGTAAGCAACTCAACCCTGGCAATGCCTGCTCTGCTTGCCATGCTCAGGTATTGTGGAGATGAGTAATGGCTGATGAAGGCACAGCCCTATGGGAGCTGCCCTCAGCTCTCTTCTTCCCAGGGTGCAGCCAGCTCTTGCAACACTCAACACTGGCTCTCCTGGTATGACTGCGAGAACAGCTGCACCATGAATGGGATCAGGGAACTCAGATGGTTTAAAAATAACTGTGACAAAAAGCTATCAGTTACTTTTACCTGAATTGATTCCCCAGTACTGCTTGTGTAACCCCAGAAATGGGCACACAAAAGCAACCAAGGTAGCAGAGTAAGAGCAACACGTGCCCTGCCAGGCTGCATCTAGCTTTGCTGCCAGCCTCAGTACCTTGTCCTGGGGCAGCTCGAGTCAGATGAGCGTGCAGAAGCCTCCCGTCTTACTGCAGAGCAGCCTATCTCTGTACCAGGTCCCAGCTGACTGTGCAGCTTGGCCCCTGCCGAGCCCCAGAACACAAGACTCAACACTCCTGCTAAGCCTTGCTCTGCAGGAGTTTTTGCTGAACGTTTCAGTTGTACCTGGTTGTATCTTTACATCCTCAAACTTTACAGACCTTGCTAAGATCATGCATCCTGGGCTCCCATGGCAATTAATTCTACCATCTATCTTGCATATCAGTGGAAAAATCAGAAATAAGTGACATGGAAACCTTTAAATGTAAACTGAGAGCTGCCTTGTCCAGATACTTCCACATTTACTGCTAGCAGCAGACTGGTGTGACCAAACGATCTCCTTCTGGAAGGAAGGAAAGGAGGCGCGTTCTGCTCCAGCTTAGCAGTGCCATGATGGCGGGTAGCTCCTGCTGTCCTTGCTCCGCAGTCGCTTGTTTTCCCTTGTTACGGTGCGAAAGGGGCTCTCTGTCACTGACACACAGTTCAAAGCACAACCACATCTTCTACTCTCTTGCACTGCAGCGCAACGACGCGCCGGTCTATGACTGAGCACGGTAAGGCCCTGACACAGTGCCTGATCTGAAGCGAGCCCTTCCCTACCTGGATCACCGCCCCGCGCTGCTCTGAGGAGCAGGCCGCGCCTCCCGCTCACTAAATCACTCTCCGGCTGCGGCCTCAGCGCGGGGACACCACACAGCCCCCGACTCCCTCAGGCAGCGGCCGCTCCGGGAGCTCAGCGAGGGTCCGAGAGCCGCGCGCCGCGCCTCGAGGCGCCCCGAGGCGCCGGGGCTTCGCAGCTACCGCGGCGCCGAGCCGGGGCATCGGGACCGCCCATCCCCGCATGAGCCGCGAGCACGCCCCCTGCCGGCGGCCTGGGGACGGCCCGTCCCGGTGCCGGTTTGAGCTCGGGCGGTTCCCGTAGCCCCGCTCGCTCTTCCGCCTGTTGGGCCCTGCCGGGACCCGTCGACGCAGTGGCGTGTGGGAAGGAGAGATGATGGCGGCGGAACCGAGCAAGACGGAGATTCAGACTCTTTTCAAGCGGCTCCGGGCGGCACCGGCCAACAAGGTAGCGGGCGGGGCCGGGAGGGCGCTCCGGTTCCCGGCGGGGCCGGTAATCTGCGGGCTGGAGTCAGGGCGGCGGGGTTGGGGCCTGGCTGAGCATCCGCGGGGCGAGGCGAGGGCTCTGCCCAACCCGGCCGTCCCTCTGCCCCTCCAGTCGTGCTTCGACTGCGGCGCCAAGAACCCGAGCTGGGCCAGCATTACCTACGGGGTCTTCCTGTGCATCGACTGCTCCGGCGTCCACCGCTCCCTGGGCGTGCACGTCAGCTTCATCAGGTGTGTGGGAGCGGGCCGGCGTGCTGCGTTTTGCTGCGGGGCTTGGGGGTTCCGTCGGAGAAAAGCTTCGTCACCAAGTGGTGGCTTCGCGCCGTGTGTCTGCGTACGGGGAGCCGCGGGTCAGTGGGCAGGACGGCGGCGTGCTGTGTCCCCTGGGTCGCATAACAGCGTCCGGACTTGGAAGAAGTTGAAAGGAGACCGTGGTGTGTGAATGTTGTTAGTAAAACAGTCTGAGTGTTTTGTAACGCTGAGCAAAGCAAAAACAGGAGTGTTGTTAGCAGGAATGTTATTCAGGCTTTTCTGAGTTAGCCCAGAGGGGAAGGTGGTTTTGGATTTTCATCCACTGCGCTTATTTTCTGTACCTGTAAAAACTTTCTGAGTAACAGAATAGTGATCGTTGCTCGTACAGAGATAAGTCAAGTAACCCTAAGAGACATGCCGTGCCCTTGCTCCATTTGACCATTTGGGGCTGCTTTGTCATGTGCTCTGGCTTGATCGGAGGAGTGGGCCGAGCACGAGTCTTTGTGCTGTGGTGAGATCAGATGTGGAACGGAAGCTTTCCTGATTCAGGCCCCACCTCTCAGCAAGCCGTACCAGTGAGACACCCTCTCAATTTGGGTGCCATGTTATTTAGTATGAAGCTGAAGCTAACTTTGTTCCTTGCTTTAAAAGTTTGGGTTAATTCCTGATAATTCACTGAGATGTGCTTTCCCCGTTTGCCTCCTGTACTCTGGTGGAACAGAAGTGGGATCTCTGACTGTTGTGGCTTGGAGCGTGCTTTTGTATTTGGCACGCCTGCCTATCATTAATAGCAGTAATTTGTTTTCATGCAGGTCCACGGAGCTCGACTCTAACTGGAACTGGTTCCAGCTGAGATGTATGCAAGTGGGCAGCAATGCCAATGCGGTGAGGAACTTCCATAGGCATTTTGCTTATTTTCTCCATTGCTAATCCACATTCTCAGTTTCTTGTCCCTTTCTTTTGTGTGGCTTTCTGGGTACCAACCTTTCTCTCTCTTTTCTTTCTCTTGTTTTCTTGAAATGTATAATGAGGGCAGGCATTTGTCAGGTGCACTTGGAAGTCAGCCTGTGACCTATGCATGTATTGTTTTCTGGCATGCAGATCAGTCATTTCCTGACATCATCTTTAAATGAGAGGCATAGTCCTCTTAAACAAAAGGAGTTAGTAACACTGATTAGTTGGGAAGCTCTTGTTCAGCATGGTGACAAAAGCGTTCCTCTGGGAATGAAAAGGTTTGTTCACATCCCTCTGGGGTTTGGATGAGACTTCTTGGGGAAAGCTGAGCTGATCAGTGCAAGCTTCATGCCATGTGCTCAGTATTACATCTCCTGTCTTTGGGAAGCTTCTTGTTCCTGTAGTGTTTGTGTCATGTCTAACTGCTACTTGAGTATCATCTAGCAGCAAGGAGACTGAATGTTCTTCTCATTTCAGACTGCTTTCTTCCGCCAGCATGGCTGCACTACAACAGATGCCAATGCTAAGTATAACAGTCGAGCTGCCCAGATGTACAGGGAGAAGATCCGGCAGCTGGCAAGTGCTGCCATGGCCAAGTATGGCACTGATGTAAGTCTAAGCAGCTCTCTACAGTTAGACATGTAGCACTTCATGCTGAGTCTTGTAGGATAGCTTCTTTTTAACTCTCTTCTCTTCAGTTGCTCATAGATGGACTCAGTGGAGCCCCTGGGCATTCCCCTGACAAGAGTGATGCTGATTTCTTCATGGAGCACACACAGGTGGGAAGAATTGCTTACACCAGACAGCTTTAACAGCTCTCAGGTGGCCAGCTGGTTGTCCAGGAGCCTGGAGTGGCAGTAGGAGCAGTTCTGCTTAGTTGAGAAGGATTCTAAACTGTATACACATTCAGCAGTAACACAGAACAGCTAAGATTCAGTCATCAGTCTGGAATATAGTCCACAGATATAAATATTTCTATATGGGTTTTCAGTACCCATGCCTTTTCTCTTTGAGAACATCTTTATCTTCAGGGAATCTCCCTGGATAACGCAGAGTCTCTTTGGACAGTTAAAGCAAGGGTTGGCTATTACTTTGAACATCTGGTTTAGTCAGCTTTCCAGTGGAAGTGGATTTGGCCAACTGCTTGTACAGTACTCTATTATTCCTTGTGGTATTCCATTTTGCTTTTTTATATATGTATATATATTTTTTATCTCAGTAAAGGAATGTAGGGTTGAGTTATCTTCAGTGAGGACACAGTCTGTTGTTTGGAACATGTTTTCTTGACTTTAAGCTGAATAAAGGCATCTGAACTAGAAGTAAGTTTAGGTTTGTTAGATGTATTCATCCTCTGCAAATCAGTAGAGTGATTACCTCCTTACAGTCTTCCAGAACCTGGGATGTAGCAGATGCCAGCCAGAATCCTGCACAGTCTTCCTTGGACATGGAAAAAGCACCAAAGTCATCAGAAAGCAGTGAAGCAGCACGTGAGTTCTCTGCTGAATAATGTTCTCAAGAACCTGACTTAATTTCCAGGGGAGTACAGTCCTGTACTCTCTGTTGGAAAGGCTTGTTTCAGGTTTGAAGAAATGGAAGCTCTGTGCGCTGTCTGAAAATGGCACGTGAACATAAAGCAGAAAACTGTTTCTAAGATAAGTTACAAAGAAAACAAGAATCTGGAGCATGACAGTAATTTGAAACAGCTTTGTGTATTCACTTTCAGTGTGTTTTCTTTCTTTTAACATGTTGAGGCCACTGCAGAGTGGGTAACTTGCTGTGTGGAGATCTAAGGTAGTTGTGCTTGGGAAATTGCAGCTTTCAAGCTGGAACTCAGCTTGGTTTGGTTGGTGTGGGGCACAGAACTTAGAAGAGAGATAGTGAAACTATCACATTGTGAGAATAAAGGAGTTAAGAGTATCTCACACAGAGGGTGGTGACACACTGGAACAGGTTGCCCACAGAGTTGTGGATCCTCCCCCCATCCCTGGATGCATTCAGGGCCAGGCTGGATGTGGCTCTGGATACCCTGATGTAGAGGTTGGCGACCCTGCACAGCAGGGGGGTTGAAACTAGATGATCGTTGTGGTCATTTCCAGCCCAGGCCATTCTATGATATGATTCTATGATCTCTGAATGTACTCTCCTGTTCTTGTGCCTGTAGATCCAAGCGAAGGCCCATCTATTGACTTGTTGAGCACATCTCCTAAAGCTCCTATAGGTAAGTAAGATTCTTTAGGGTCTCTTAGATGAGTCTTGCTGTTACACCTGCTGCTCAGCAGTAAGCTTAGTGGAGCTGGAAACAATGAACCTATTTTCAGAATGTTGAAAGGAGCTTTTATCTTCCTTTGGAAGCAATACTGAGGATTTCTGTAAATCTCCACAACAATCCACAGCTTATTGGAGGGTATCTTGCTCCTTTGGGTGTTTGAGTTCAAGGATATCTCATCTCTGAAGTTTGTTTTCATTTTGGGGCTTTTGGTATTTGTGTATCTGGAATTTGGCTGATCAAGGCCACATGGCTGTTTTGTGTTTTGTTTTGCTTTTTCCTCCAGAAACTTGGAAGCAAGTAAATCTTTAGCTTGCTGAGTAACAGGAGTTTATATCTGATTGTCCCAACCATTGCTCTCCTGTCTGCATCTTGCGGAGCTTTTCTTATCAAGAGTATGCTTATAGCCCACAGTGGGCTTCATCCTGGGTGGAAAGACTATGTCCTTAAGTGTCTATTCATTCCCCATATTTGTTTCTTCTCAGACATGTCCATGTACCTGTCACCACAGGAGCCTGCTCCTGCCAGAGGTAACTGGCTAACAGGTGGCCTGCGCTGGCTGCTTGTCACAATTCTGCCTGCCCATTTTGTGATTCTGCCTTCAAATCTAACTTCAGCTTCTTTTGCTTAGAGGGAGAGAATGAGCCAAAGCTTATGTGTATCATATTGGGATCTAAGCTAAATATTGTTTCTCTGCAAAGGGATCTTACTAAAAAAAAAAAAGCATTTCCTGACAGTAATAAAATCAAAGAAGTTATAAATGGTGAGCTGAAAATAGTATCAGGTAGGGATTTGGGACATTCATCTCACTATTTTAAAAAATTGTGATAAATTTAGAAAAGGTCATTCTCAACAGCCTTTCCAGTATCTCAAGTGTGGATTGACAAAAGTCATGTGGGTATAGGAAGTAGGGAGACACTTTTGGAAGAAAGGCCCAACAAGGGCAATCAGATTATGGAACTGTGCAGTGTTAGAAGCTGGAAAAGTGTCATAGGAAATCAGTCTTTATGCTTGCTTTGTTCTTACACTTTTTCCACAGACATCTACTGCTTGGCTGGACCTTGGCTGTTTTTACAGGCATGGTGTGCCTTATCCCCTCATATTGACAGCTTTCTGATAGAAGGTGTTGAGAAACCTGTTGCTTCTATAGCACAGTGCATT